CTGAGCAAATCAGGGTTGATGAGATGCTTCAACAGTATGCATAAAAACCCGAGAGAAGATGGAATGGAGCTCTGTGGCCATTGCAAAACAATTAAAACCCTTTGGAATTATTTGTGCCCATTTATGTGTCTTCCCTTCATGCTAGGCATGTGCATGTGTGCCAACACAAGCATTTCCCTTCTCTAAGGCCACTCTATTCGATCCTGAAAAACACAGCAGGCTGCACTAATATTTTTTACCTTTTGTCTCGGTGTTTTAAGAAGTTGTAGTTGGTTTGTACAGTAAACTGCAGCATCTTCTAAGAATATACTCCAATGATTTATCTACGATAGGGTTGAAGGGCCCCAGAGATAGACTTAAAATCACTTAGAGCCGTAAGAAATGCACAGGTAAAATAAAATGATTTTGCTATTTACCTTGGGAGCTTATATCTCACTGACTCACTGACAGTTTAGTGATCAGCTCAGTGTCCCCTTTGCACATCTTTCACAGTCCTCCCAGCTGAAGACTTCCAAGATACTGATTATGCTGTCTTGAATCACGCAAATGAAGGACTGCATCAGAGTTGAAGCTGCAGTCAAAAGTCTTCTAGAGAAAGTAAAATTTTACTTGAAATGCTTATGTCAGCAAAGAATTGCAGGGGGCTGTGCTTTCCAAACCAACACACCACCTTTGTTTCTTAGCTTCTTCACAAACACAGTTTAAGGATTTGTTCCACATCCCCCACAAGCATCTCTCTTGGTCACAGCAGAGCAGTGCAGCCGCTCTCCTCCAGGAGCTTTGCTTAGAGGCAAGAAGAAGAGAGGCAATGGAGAACAGATGGCAGAGAAAGCAACAGGATGGGTGCGAACATCCACTGCTGCCAAAGAACTGCCAGGGCTTCAGGTGGTTTTGTGAGGGATTGTTTGAAAGTAGTTTCAAAAGTTGAAATGTAGTGACATTTGTACTCCTTTCTCATGGACTCATAGAAGGGGAAAAAGTAAGATGAGATCTGATCTTCTCCAAGAATTAAGAAATCAAAGGTCCTCCTGAGCTTTATCCAATGTTTTACTGATATCTTTCTCTACCACATCCCTCATCAGAAATGCAGTTCTCAAGGCCTTGACTACAAACTTCGCAGGCAGATGTGTCCCTACTCAGTGCAAGACACAACTTTGGCAGCTTTGTAGGATGATATTTCTGCAAACTGTTTGACTGCTGACTCCCTATTCTGTGAAATGGTAGTTCAGAGGCATTGTGTAGCATCTGCTCTCTGAATGCAGTTCTCATGGCAGGCAAATTCCCACCCAGACCCAGACGCATCCCTCCAGTCATGACTGGACCTACAATGTTTGATCAAGCATTCATGTCCCAAGTCCTTTAAAATGTTTATTTTTGTGTGTATTCTTTTTCCTTCTCTCCAGTAGTGCCATGCACTTCCTAGGGTAGAAAGTAGTAGGAGCAAAAAGAAATTATGATGGAGACGGGCGAGCAGAAACATCTGTCAGCCAAATGGTGTCTTAAGACTGAAGCTCTGATTTTCGGTCTGTGAAAGGCACTTCTTGTCTTCTGCCAGCAGGGAAATCTGGATGGGTGCCCAGGAGTTAAACAAGAGCTGAGCAGAGAAAGCATCAACAGAGCTGTAATACAGGAAAAGGTGGAATTTTTGTGGAATCTTCACTCTTTCCTGCTGGTTTCCTGCTTACTACATATGAATCACAGAGAAAACTTTTGTATTGGAAACTGAAGCAGAGCAGCCATTCTGGGATGGCCAGATTGAGAAAAATAGCCTGTGGATAACCCGCTACCACTAACCTGTCTTTAACCCTCTTTGTGGCATACAACTCAGCTAACAGCTGCTCTGATTTCCAGGAGTGTAGTCAAAGTGCTCTCTCTTTTATTTCTCTCATTCTTATAGTGAAAGTCTGTCAGCCATCCAGCATCAGGGAGGATGGAAGCGCTGTGGGTCAGTACAGTTAGCAGTGGCCCATCTCCCACATGCCCGAACAAGCGGCTCCCATTGCATGATTTTTCACTCTCATAAGATATTATTGATTCATGACATATTTACTCCAGAAGGCTTTCCTCTGGAGGCCTTGCAAGACCTTTTTTGGGGGGTTCAAGGACTAATAAATGCGTTTCATTTGAATCTCTTACTATTAAAGAACATAAAAGTAATACAGACATTCACCAAGATATTTCCTTCATTGTGTTTTGGACCTACTGTGGGAGAGAAGCAGCTTGATTTATGGCAAACATTACTTCCAGCACCAGGCTGGTGTGAGCCATGCACGTGTGTGTTTTTATGAAGAGATTACATTTAATTAAAACGTATAAGCCTGATGGGAGAACTTTAATGGATCCTGACAGTATTTTGCATAGAAAGAAGGACAAAAGCCACTCACAAAAATACATTTTGCAAGGCAGATTTAGAATGACTTACACTGTAAACCTGTCCCACCTGAAAATAAACCTCAGTTAGATTAAATGAGTTTGCTTTTGCTGTTTGAAAGAAAACAGTCCACATCCCATCTAAAGAAATGGGACTCTAAGCATCAGAGAGATGGGAAACACGAGAGATAATTCACTAACTAACGTTCTGTTATCATTATAGTTCAAATGTGATTAATTCCTCTGGAATTTGTTGTAATAATATTAGTCCTGGTGACCTCATTTGTTATACATATTGCTGCCATCAGGAACCTGATGTGTTGCCTAAAAGATTCGGAGCCTGCAGCCATCTGCGCTGTACCTGCTGTGAGGACATCTGGATCTCCTCATCTACAACTGCTGCCTGATTCTTCCACCTTGGCAGTGGTTTTGTAGCTGAAGCTGCCAAAGGAAAACCACTGGCAGTGATTCAGTGGTTTGGGGCTCAGCAGCAGTTCGGTGTCCCAGCATGCACAGACTCTGCCTAGCTTCCTCTCCACTCATTGAGAGATCCCCACTTTATTTAATTCCTCTTTGTTTAGTTTTGGCATTTGTTTCTGTTGTTGTTGCTCTTTTTTTTTTTTCTTTTGTCATCTTCCATCATCTTGGTCACATCTCTCCTCTTCAGCCATCTGCTTACTTCTCTCTCCTGATGCACTCACACTGGTGCTGCTGTTCCTTCCATATGTGGCATGGCTCTCATCTGAACTTGATTATTACAAAGAGCAGGAAAGGCCGAGTTAGTTTCAGACTCTCCTTTTGTTGCCGCACATATACAGGGATGATGGCAGTTACTGTTACAATTTTTGGATGCAGATCTTCTACCCAGAATTTGGAATAGCAATCGACTTTTGATGAAGGGACTATCATGTTTCCATCTGTAACATTCAAATTTCATAAAGTTAAATAGACCGTTTGACACCTAGAATCAGATTGGTGCACTTTTCTTGAGTTTGAACCCTGCTCCTAAAAGTTTGCTCTTGCTGTACATGGGGAAAGCCAGTAGATCCAGAAGGTTTGTGTGTGGATGACAAGTGCTGGCTGCATAGGGGCAGGACTCTGGGGAAAAAGAAGTGCTTTGTGAGGTCCAGGCACAGCCCTGAGCAGCCTTGAGCTGCCTTCATCTCAACCAGCATTACTCACCTTGCAGGACTGCGCTGCAAGTGTGGTTAATGCATACTGACTTCACAGCAGTTCCAAAACCTAGGTGCCTGCATCATAAAATGTATTACTAGCGATCAATTTCTGTGTCTTCCCAAAGACTTTTTGTCCTGTTCTCTGTATGTGCTCTGCACACATGACAGTGCATTTCCCTTGGCTTCATTCTTTTTGTGTCAATACTACTTCATAACAGAACTGTTTTTGTGATGTTTCAGGCAAGGATACACAAATTACAGGGCTTGAATTGTTACATAGCAGCTGATGGTCATTGCAAATGAAGAAAAAAAAAAAAAAAGAAAAAAAAAAAAGCAGTATAAGAAGTCCCAAGGTTTCCTGATGGTCAGGATTTCCCAGTTGCAAAAGCAGAATACAACGCCCTGATGATGTCACTGCAGCATCAGTTGATGACCAGGCTATGTTTATAATACTAAACAAAACATTGTCAGCTTGAAAGCTTAAGTACAAGACAAGCAATCATCTGCCACACTTAATTGTTAGCTCACAACTTGGCAATTTCAGCTGTTGCTAATTAATACTCTCTAAAATGATGTCTGAGCATTGTTTGGACAATATCATAAATCAGGAAGCATTGCCAATAGGCAGCATAGGCAGTGCAATTTTGTGCTGTGAAAACACTGTGCTAATGCATTACAGGACAGGCTGTGTGTCCTTTCATGAGCTCTGAACTGGAAAAGAGTTAAGGACTACGACTTAGGACCACAAGGCCTCCATGTGGTCCAGCTGGGAATGAAATACAATGAGAAATCCCATTTGGGAAGCAGTCCCATTGTGCGACTTCAACCTTTACTGGATCCCTTTGGACTTCACTGCTATGTTTAAATCAGACCCGTAACACAATGAAAAATGTTAGGAGTGTTCTCAGTTCTCCCTGATAGAAAGAGCTTCACCTCAGTGGTGCCGTGCAGGCAGAGAGCAGTGCAGCACATCAGGCTCAGGGCAGTGTGGTCCCCCTTATCACAGCAGCATCCACTGCAGGTCCTGCATCCCCAGGCTCCCAACTCGCCAGGCATTTAAAATAAAAATGATAGCGGAAGACAAACTTGTTTTCAAATTATGGTCATGACATGTGATAGTGAAAGCATGTGTGTATAAACTGAGAAAATGTTTAAAAGACAAAAAGCAAACAAATTCCAAGAAGGGAAGATTTTTTTTTTTTTTTCCCCTCATGAGAACATGACGCAAAAGGCAAAGAACCAATCATGGGAAGAAAAAAGTTTCTGAAGCACGTATTTATTTTATTTTTACTGATTAAAATAATTTTAAAATGTGGCCCTGAATAAAGAAACAAAATGTTTCAGTCTCTGAGAAAATGACTCTGCAGAACATTTTCATAGACAAATTGCATCAGAGACAGCACAACTTAGGAACTGCTCCAGGGGATGAAGTGTCTCTGGGTAGCTCTGAGCAGGAGAGGTGCAGGAGTCCAGGAACAGGAGCTAAACAGGAGATGAACAGAAGCTGAAGTCCTGCATAGAGCTGCAGTGAAACCTCGGGGTCTGCTGCAGGAGTGAGTGTGTCACAAGGGCTGAGCTGCTCACAGAGCAGACTGAAACCTCAACTGTACTATCATCCACTCTTCCTCCTCTCGCAGTCATGTGAACTTCCACCCCCAGTCTGAATTGCAGATACTTTTGATTATTCAGCTCAGGTGTCCTTGCAGAGTAATGAGGTCTTTCTGCCCTGTTATTTCCAGCTGCCATCACTCTCGGCAACCCAAACAAACCCAACTGATTGCACTTATTTATAGACCTGAATGCTGATGCTGCTCTCCCCTGGGGTTGGCTCTCATCTCTCCGGATGGAGCAGATTTCAGGTCAGCTCATTTCCTAGCCTTCTTTCACTTCCTCTTGGCCCTGGTGCTGCTGCCAGTCCTTTTCCTGCAGGATATTCCACTGGTGAGTACTCACGAGTTGCTGTGGTTGACACTTCATCTGCATTCCAAGTGCTGGCTGCATGCTGTGGTCTTTCACTCATCTAACTCTTCTACTCCTTCAGCTTTTCCTGTCTTGGGGCACTGGTAGTATGGAAGTTGTTGCAGTGCTCATCCTGGCTGGAGAGACTTACAGAACTTGTAGGACTGTAACTGCTAGATAAAGAGGTTTATTTCTGCCTACATCAGGCTGTAGGAAACTGGAATAAATCCACGGGGAGAAAATGGTAGCACTCATTTCTGTGTATTGCTGTTCAGAGCTGCTCCATCTCTCAGTGTTGAAGTTTGCTTTGCTGCTGCAGAATGTTTCCTGTGCTTGAATCAGTCCCTTGTCTATTTGCTCACACTTGTTTCTGACCAGTAAATTAAGCTGGGAAGGTTGAATGTGCCTCGCCTGTTCTCGAGATGTGAAAGTCACATGGGAATGCCTGCCCACAATCTCTGTTAGTGCTGCAAAGTTGGCCATTTCTTCGCCACACTAAGTACAGCTCTGAGATATTTTGTATCCAAGCCTATCAGAGCGCTCCAGAAAGTAGCCCTACAAATGTAACACAGTAGCTTGGACTGCCAAAGAAAGGAATCCAAACAGCAGCGACTGTTTGCACTACCTCAGGCAGCGATCTCTGGTGGGGCTGAAGCTGGAAGCTTTGTCCACGTTGATGGTCCATGAGAAGAAGGTGACTTTCCCGAGGCCAGGTCTGGATAGGCAGCAGTTCTGGTGCATCCCCTGGTGCTCCTCTGCATTAATGACATACAAAGTGAGGGTGCTGGGCTCTTAGCTTGGGGAATTGAACTATGTACCTGGCATCCCACTGCAGCAGCAGTGGAAGTAAAAGTTCTTGGCTTGTTAATTAGAAAGTGAGCAAATCAAAATTGGGTCCACTTTTCTGCAGGGGTTGAACATGAGCACTGCTGTGATCCCGGGTCTTGTACTGCAGTCGGTCGTTGTCACCTCCTCAGTTTTTTTGTCAGTGCTTCATAGTTTGCAAACCCTTTGGGGCAGAAATTCTCTCCTTTCTGTTTACAGGCCCTTCTGAAGTCAGGCCCTGACCTCCCCTACAAATATTTGTACAGATGTGATCATATTGTACTGTAGTTCAGTGGAACGGCTGATAAATATTGCCCCTGCCTTGAGGAGCTTGAAACACAAGATGAACTGTTATGAGCAAGGGCATGGCATTGCTTTCAAGGCATGAAGTCTGATACGTTAGTAAATCATTTCTCTTCTGTCCAATGATATTGAGGTTGTTTAGAAATGCCTGCCTCCAATCATAACAGACAGTGGTTTGAAGCAGGGATAGGTAGGGGTGAGTCCTGCAGTTGAGTTCAGGACAGGTGTTCTAAACAAGTGGGTATGACAAACAGCAATAGGCTCCAGAGATCTTCAATCTTAATCACCACTATGAACAGACATATATTGAGAGAATGAGGTCAGTGAAAGCCCTGGCCTCCTAACATCAATATTTTCTTTTGTGTGCTTCTTGTTGAGCCTCCGTAAGACTGACCTGGAATGAGACAAGCAGCTGGCTGTGAGGGTTCTGATCATTGCTTGGTTTGGGTATCAAGGACTGTGTTCCAAAAATTACTGTAGTTATTGAAGTCTGCTTAGTTTTCCTGATTTGGTTCTGGCAGAACTGTCAGCTGTGGGTGATGATAACAGAAGTCACATTTTAACCAGTAGAAAGACGATCTCCAGGGTGAAGGTTTCAGTACTGCTGCCTTTACTTTGATTACAGCTATTCAGCAGGACCGCTCTAAGCAGCCTGGGAAAGTGTCTCTGCCACTGCTCCACCGCTCCGTCTTCTGGGCACCACAAGCAGGCACAAGCCTTTATCTGACTTATTTTTACAGTCTTTAAAAATAAAATCCAACTCCCAGACCGAAATGTTGCCCTTGCATTTTTCGTGACAGCAGCTATTTCTCTGGGGAGACTTTAAGCTGAGGATTGCAAAGAATGTTCCCATGCACTTTGCACAGCACCACCCGCCATGGACACAGAGCATCTGCCGACCAGTGAGCCACCAGGAGTGAAGGCAAGCTGCTATTCTGGCTGCTTTCCTAGCAGCCCACTCTAACTAGGTAAAATGAGGAACTGACCTTGTGCCTTAGATTTGGTGGCTGTGTTTTGGCAGGACTTGTTTTATATCTGGAAGTGCAATGCAGCTGCCCAGGTCCGGGTGCAATGGACGCTTAGCCCTTACCGGCCTCTGGGCTGCCTTCCTTTCCGTGTTAAAGAGAAGGGCAAGATCGCCCTTGGCTGCTGCAGCGTAATGGTGCTGGCAGTACAAAATGGTGAAAGTCAAAGCTCGTTTTCCAGCTCTGAGCGCGGGATGAGAGCACCGCGGCGTTGGGAGCCGTCTCGGCGGGGCGGTGGCGCCACCTGGTGGCGGCGGACGGAAGCGCGGGGCCTGGGCGGGACGGCGCCCATGGGTCGGCGGGTGCTCTGCTGCCGTAACGGCGTCCCGGCTCCCCGCTGTCCGAGCAGGATGCAGCCCTCGTTTTCCCCACGAAAAAACATAACCTCTCCGCGGTCGTGGCGTGACGCCGTGCTGCAGGTGAAGCCATCTGTGTGGGACGCGGTGGAGTGGAGCTGTAAGGCGCTCGAGCGAAACAGCTGTGCGGGAGCGGGGCGCGCGGATCGCGGAGGACCGGGGCAGGGCGATGAGAACAGCTCCAGAGGAGGGCAGAGCAGCGGCTGCAAGAGAAAAGGGCGCTGCGCAGCGCGTCTTCCTGGCTCGGACACCCGGATCGGGCTTCGTGCCTGAGGGGACTGCTCCGAAAGTAATGCCTCCTATTTTATGACGTTGGCCGCGATGTCGGTCGGAGGTGACAGCCGAGGACGAACCTTCCCGCCAATATTCCGTGACAAATCGTTGTTGTGCGACAGATGGCAGCAGAGGGGCGGTCTGAGAGAACGGTGCCGGACATGGAAGTGTGTATGGAGCAGAGGGGTGGAACTGAATTCATCCCAGTGGAGAAAATGGTGCCCGTTGACATTGATCGACACTCATTGCGTTTTTATGGAGCCCTGGGTGCGGCTGCTGGCACAGCGAGGCGCTGGGTGCTGCGTTTCCGCTGTGGCGACAGCGATGTGGAAGACAAGAGGCTGTGGATGGCCATGCAGATATTTATGAGCACAGCATGCAGGGTCTTGTTCGTTGCTGGTGGAAATGCACAGATAACAGTGGTGACTATGTTAATAAAATGTATATATATATTTATAGCTGATAACTTGCTCTATCAAGTAGTGTTATTGTGCTCTTTGTAGATGTTGGGGTTTCCATGGAAATAAATGACTTTCATAGCAACCCATGTGTTAAAAAGCTACAAATCCTTAGGTAACTCCTCAATGTAACATCCAGAAATGATAGTCAGCCAAACAGTTTTAAGATTCAGCATTCATATTTACTCAATCTTTGACAGGAGGCCATCTGCCCCATAGACAGCCTGTCTAGTTGCCTGGTAGCACCGCAAACCACTCATTTTTGAGTGCTCTGACACTCGTGCCTTGTTCAGGCAATGTGCTCAGATGGTCAATATAGTTTCTGTCTTGGTGCCGGATGTGTAAGTTCACTGCCTCGATTAGGCTGAAATGCTGCTAAAAGTACACTTTTAATCTACCTTGTTGATTTGTGTGGTGTTCTAGAAGCTGCTGGTAAAGAAATTGGTTTGATCTTTATATATTTGAAATCTTCAGAGAGAGATTGGGAAACACTGTAGACTGTTAAGGCAATGTGTACATAAAAAAACAAAAAACAAAAAAAAAAAACTGGTTCCTTCTCTTATGAAACTTATTGGCAGTTGTAGCAGCAACACCTCATTGTGGGTCTGTCTTGTTTCACTGTGATGAGGTTTGATGAAGCAGCTGGTTATGCTGTGAGAGGGGCTTTGGGGGTCAGCTTTACGAGAGCAACTGAAGAGATCTTTTGTGTCCCAAGAGGACAGGTTAGATCTAGTGGTTACAGTGATGATGCCCATTGGATTGAGTCATGCATTATATTGTACAGCAAAGCCACTTTCCTTCTGTTAGGAAGGCTTCTGCAGCTGAACAGCAGCTCTTTGTTGGGGAAGCCCTTCGTTGCCACAGAGGGTGATGGCTGATGCAAACCCAACTGTCACTGTTGAGCAACACGGAACACGAAATGGGAGCTGGAGCCCAGAGGTCACATACTTCCCTAAGACAATGACTCTGCAAGCAAAGACTGCAGTGTTGAAATGCCCTCTGCATGCTAAAAGTGGGGTGTATGATAAGCTGCACATCTGTGTCCCCTCAGAAGCCCAAAGCAAAAGGGTCTGAAAACAGCAAAAGCTGGCGCCTTGGTGACCCTGTGGTGGCTGCTGGCAGGCCTGTGAGAGCACAGGGCTGATAAACATGACATCTGGGTATGGTAGGCATTCCTGGTACTGTTGATCCCACGTTGTTTCTCCAGTTGTGTCTGAGGCTTAACTGAACAGCAGAACATCTGCTGGAGATCAGACGAGGGGGCAGCCAACCTGCTGCCCTATCACTTTGGGTTTGCCAGCAGCAGATGCTAAAGGGCAGAGCAGCTGGTATCGGAATGGGGCAGCCCCGCTCTCTGGTTATCTGTGACTCAGCCTGTCAGAACTTGTATCGCTGAACTTAAGAGTTCTGATGCCCTTTTTCTTCCCTGACTTTTGTAATTGCTTTTGCCAGTGGCGGCCAATGGCCCCTTGATCAGAGTCTGAAACATCATTTCAGAACGTCACTGAGCAAAGCTATGCTTCTTGATGTGTTCCCATGAAGGAAAGGACCTGGTGTAGTGCAGAGACAATAGCCACAGTAGGAGCACACCAGTTTAATACAGACCTTCGCGTGTTACATCATGTAGTAATCAGAAATGCTTTGTTCCCAGGGTATTCATTTGATAAGATCACTAGAAACTGGTAGCAGAGAAACTTGGTGAATATGTCATTTCTGAAAGCAGTATGCAGAGAAAAGTAATT